ATTGAAATTCGAAAGGATTTTGAAGCCCTCACGAAACGAGTTCGCCATCTCAAAATGACAGATCTAATAGACCACTGCTCAACGATCGTCATTTCATTTGCTGTTTGTTCATGTTAATAGAAATGTTCTCATTTAATTTTAATGATTGAATGCATTTTCGTTCGGATTCACAGCTGTGCTCAAAATTTGACAACAACTGAAATCACCTTGAGTCAATGTAATCGTCAAAAAGTGTTCATCAATCTCTCGGTACTGAATATCACAATGTTCATAGTTGAAATGCTTTGATTGGATGCAAATTTAGGCACCCACAGTGAAGCAGTTTTCATCCATTGAATCTTCTCGTAGCGAATTGCTGAAAATTTCGCTGCCTAAAGCAATAGAAGTGGAATGACCGATTCAGCATTTTGTTCTCTTTACATGCTTCTTCCACTTTCGTGATTTGATAACGAGTAATTTCTTTTCGGCTGAATAATCGATGTGAGGCTCTGAATTTGATTTGTATGGATCAATTTAAGAGTAATGGCAGTAAATTGAATCAAATTTCGCAAAACGGATCGGCTTTTAGTTGAGGGACTCAGTTTCATCTCTCGGTCGCTTGATTTCACACATCGTTGCTCGTAAACGTTTGAAAGAGACTGGCTTCACGGAACCCAAATACCACTAAAACAATTTCTGTTCAAAAATTAACTCAAATGAAATTTCATTCTATCATTTTTCCTGTCATCCAACTTTTTCTCCCTTTGAATTGTTCCTTTGGTGTTCTTTTTTGCCCACTGAACGCAAAACAATTTCCATTTCTCAATTTCATTTCAATTTTGTTTCATTTTGCCATCCTGCCTACGATTAGACTTTTTCCTTCAGCCAACTCAAACCTACTCAATTCCAATATTAGCCTCGTTTTTCATCTCGAAAGTGCTCTCAATTTCAGTGTGACATAAAATGTTTTTGGAAAAGTATTCTCCAGAAACAGTTGGACAATGTCATAACTGTGCTCGCTGGATCTGCGGTGATCAATTGGGCCATCTTTGAAGCAATTGAATCTCTTCACATCCATTCGATCTGAGGATATCAGATGATAATCCTAAGTCTCTTATGAGTATCTAATAAGGTTTTGCAGATATTTTCTAGTCAATTGTTTGCTCGGAATCGGAACTTCAATTTGTATCGCTATCAATAGCAAGCCAATCACGGATCGATCACCTTCTCGAAATTCGAATAAATCGCTTCTTCTCTCCAAATGACCAGTCAATCGGGATTTCAATGGTCACTTTATCCTCTTCTTGCAATCGTTGCTCTGGTGAGTTCATCTCTTTGCTTTCATTATTTTCTTTGAGAATTACATCTTTATGACGACGAAGAATTATAGTCTGTGATGTATTTTGGCCATAACTACTAATACACGGTTACGATTATTACCGATATTGGTATCATTATTAGTCCACTGTTTTTGTTGAAATCAGCATTATCATCGCCAACACCACGACTGTTGCAAGTACCGTGGATGTGACCGAAGAATTTTTGTAACAGCGTATTTGTTTCAGTGTGAATTCATGTTGGGAGTTTGTCATTTGACATTATGTATGCCACTATTTCCGTTTCTCATCCCGATAGTATCTGGCGTGTTTGCACTAATCACTGCGATGCACGCTGTTTTTCTGCGTTATCCAAACAGGTGAGCATTCTACAACACCATTCTCTGGCCTAGACAATGAATAACGATATCTAAAATAACGATTTCTTGATGACGGATGAAGAGCCAATTTGCAAAATTTTGTCTTCGTTTGACAGTTCAGTACAAACGAAATGCTGTTGCTAACAATAAGTAATGACTTGTGATGCTATTTGATGTGGTGATATTCAATTCTTATTCCTATCGGAGTCAAGAGAGTAGCTATTGAAAAGGGTTCATGGATGATTGAAAAACCGTCATGATATTCAAGGGTCGATTTCGTTCTACAATGCTGCAGTGTGTGTATTGCCTTCATTCTCCTCGTCTCGTCTGGGATGGAAACATTCTGTGCGATCAGCTATGAGGATGAGTCAGAGGGTCTTAATTCTCTCGATATTTCCACATCCTTCCTCCAGAGCTTCTTTCACTTAAATAATTTCCAGGAAAAATGAAAAAAAACGAATTAGTCAAACGAATGATTTCTGTTTATGTTTCTGGCTGGCATTCGATCGACGATGTGATCAGTTTCGAAAATCGATTGTAGACTGAGCAAACTTCCACAGGAGTCTAGCCAACAACTTTCTCAGAAATGCTCACGAATGGTCTCAATGATGATGTGAAGTTTGCATTTTCAGAGAGTTCGGAACGGAATTTTGCAGCAGCAGTATGCTACGGTTTGTGGTATCGATCAGTAGGGTATCAGAGCTCATGCAACGAACTCTTGAGACCCATGCATGAATCTCTGATTTCCAAACTTGGTCCTACAATGCATTTGAGCTCGATGCGATTCGCTATCTCGTTGTCACTGACCGGGCTGGCGTCTCTTCATTTCATCGTTTGTATAGCATTGGCATTTTACAGTGCATACGAAACATTGTAGGTGATACTTAACAGCTTTTTGATAATGTCCTTTCGAGTCTGAATATCTTATGAGAATTTGAACAGCTCTTCGAGCTTTTCAGGTTTTTTGTTTGTTTATGGGGAGGTGGTGATGCCTGAAACGTACGGTTTCATTCATTTTCCTAGTCAAGCTCTTTGCTAGGTTGCTATCATACGTTCTGTATGGATCAGGAGAAGAGTAGGGGGACGGAAATGTATGATGCAGATAGGTGTTCATTTCAGATTACTAGTTCGTTCCTATCATGTGCAACTGATTGTCGCAGCACTGATGCTACCCGCTGCTGTCAGCCATCATGAATACTGTTGTACGTACTTCTTCATCTGGCCAGGTGTTGCCGTATTCTTGTGTGCCACTCTTCAGTCAATACTTTCATGGGGATTCGACTGTCAAGGTTTTGTTTCGGATTGATTTGAAGCGAACGGTATGGTGATCCTATTGGATACATGGTATTCCTATAACAGAGGGAATCTTGGATAACCATCTATTTCTATTGATCATGTTTAAAGTTTGTTTTGATAGGTCATCGTGGCTATGTGCTGAATGCAGTTGTGGATAGGTTCTCGGCTCGTCGATGAAATGAAGATGATATTTCAGGATGTTGGGTTCGAACTCTGAATGTTTTTGGTACAGCCATAGGAATGGCACTAATAGCCATAGCATCGTTTGGTATATTTTGCACAATCACAAGGTTCTTTTCTCATTTTTCTAACTGAAAATAACTTGCGATTAGTGATCATTTCGTATTATATCGAGTTTATTACTTCTGATTTCCGAAACTTCTTCAAATCGAATGAACAATCAGTCACGTTTTAGGGTAACCAGCGATTCGTTTGCATTTCAAAGGCACTGCGCTTGGCCTCCTCAGCAGTATCGATATTGTTATCGTGTGATCGATTTCCGTGAGCCATACAAGAATTGGGCACGGCAAAATATTGCTTCCGAAACGGCGGCCGTTCAGATCTTCACCAATATATGGCTTTGCCTTTGTGGATTCGCTCAATTTTTTGTTTCGCTGAAGTCCACCTTCAGCACTGAAGTGCTTCTCTGATCTCGACTGATTCTAACGATTAAACATTCCTTCATAATTTATCACATTAACATTATGACTTAAGACTAGATTTTTGC